ATCACCGTCTTCAGGACATCATCGCGAGTGTCTTTATCGCCGTCTTCAGGACATTATCACGAGTGTCTTTATCGCCGTCTTCAGGACATCATCGCGAGTGTCTTTATCGCCGTCTTCATGACATCATCGCGAGTGTCTTTATCGCCGTCTTTAGGACATCATCGCTAGTGTCTTTATCACCGTCTTCAGGACATCATCGCGAGTGTCTTTATCACCGTCTTCAGGACATCATCGCGAGTGTCTTTATCACCGTCTTTAGGACATCATCGCGAGTGTCTTTATCGCCGTCTTCATGACATCATCGCGAGTGTCTTTATCGCCGTCTTTAGGACATCATCAAGAGTGTCTTTATCGCCGTCTTCAGGACATCATCGCGAGTGTCTTTATCGCCGTCTTCATGACATCATCAAGAGTGTCTTTATCGCCGTCTTCAGGACATCATCGCGAGTGTCTTTATCGCCGTCTTCATGACATCATCGCGAGTGTCTTTATCGCCATCTTCAGGACATCATCAAGAGTGTCTTCATCGCCGTCTTTAGGACATCATCGCGAGTGTCTTCATAGCTGTCTTTAGGACATCATCGCGAGTGTCTTTATAGCCGTCTTTAGGACATCATCACGAGTGTCTTTATCACCGTCTTCAGGACATCATCACGAGTGTCTTTATCACCGTCTTCAGGACATCATCGCGAGGGTCTTTATCACTGTCTTTAGGACATCATCGCGAGTGTCTTCATCGCCGTCTTCAGGACATCATCGCGAGTGTCTTCATCGCCGTCTTCATGACACCATCAAGAGTGTCTTTATCACCGTTCTCAGGACATCATCGCGAGTGTCTTTATCGCCGTCTTCAGGACATCATCGCGAGTGTCTTTATCACCGTCTTTAGGACATTATCGCGAGTGTCTTTATCACCGTCTTTAGGACATCATCGCGAGTGTCTTTATCACCGTCTTTAGGACATCATCGCGAGTGTCTTTATCGCCGTCTTCAGGACATCATCGCGAGTGTCTTTATCACCGTCTTTAGGACATCATCGCAATTAACATTTCTTACTATCATTACTATTTCTGCGCCTCCGTTATGGCTGCTATTTTCATTTCATTTTATTATTTCACTTCCTAATTTCTTTCTCCTAATCTTCTTCTTAATCTACTTTTATCTTCTAAATATTTGTAGTGAGGAAACAGATAATGATAATGATGATGACGTTAATGATGATGAAGCTGAAGAAAAAGTAACAAAAAGATCTCCGTTATATTTAGCTCTGTAGTAACAGTCTCCGCCTTTTACTGTTTCATACTTTATCTCTTCATCTCTGTCAGTTATCTATTTATTTCTCATTGTTATCTGTTCATCTCTCTGTCTCCCTCTGAGTCTGTTCTCTCGTTTTCTCCTTCTCTTTCAACAACATCTACCTCTATTATCTCTTTACGTCTCTCTCAAATCTGGGGCCCTCTCACTGAAGACGCTTAAAGGAAAAACTATCCGGCGACTCAAGCTTATGAAGAAACTTACTGAAACAAGCTGGGGTGCAGATGTCAACACTGTACAACAAATATACACAGGATACGTCCGACCAAAACTGGACAAAATACAGAACACTGGTCTCAGAATCATCACTGGAGGTATGAGAAGCACACCAATCAATGAGCTGGAGGCAACTTGTGGCCTCCAGAGCTTGAGCCTTCAAAGGGAAGGCAAGGTGCTTACCTTAACAGAAAAATGTAAACGCATGAACAACAACCCCATACACAAAATAGCAAACAATTTAACTAAAAGCCGACCAAAAAGAGAAAGCTTTCACCATCAATAAAAATTGTACTACACAAAAAACAGTGACATCCTTTCTAAAGATCCTTCAACATGGGAAACGATCCAGGCCTACGGCAAGCACCTACAAGCTAACTAACTATACAGTCACAACAACAATCCCAGGCATAGAGAGAAGGGCTCAAGACTGAGACCTGGATTACTGCATGCAAACACCTTTTAACGTGTCTACAACTCTTATGCAAAACCCGAATGGACACACGTATACATCGATCGATCATTGGAGGGAGCAGGGAAAAATCCCGGATGATTTGGATCGGTCATCATGCTGCAAGATGGGACCACAGTAGAAACGTCATGTGCCTCCGGAAGACTCCTTAGAAATTTCAGAGCAGCAAGCAATTATTGATGCAGTCAAAGTGCTTGAGGAAAGAAACATTAAAAACAGCAAAATTGTTTTCCTTTGTGACTGCATGTCCATCCACCAGGCGACTAAGAAGAATCACGGAGAGAGAAATGACCCGCCAGCTAAACAGACTCGCAGAAAACAAATCATTCTGTAGTGGATCCAGGCTAGTTGCGGCACACCAGAAGATGAGTTAGAAGAAAGACTTGCAAAAAATGGAACAAAGGAGAAACAACACGCTCATTTACTGTCATTACCAGAAAGCAGAACACTTGTCAGGGGAAAACACAAGGAATTGTGGAGAGAACAAACTAACAGTAAAATGTCCACAAGACCCCATCAGCAAACTCAACAAAAAGCATACAACAATTTTCCGTCTACGAACAAGACACTGACAGCAGGCTCAGCTACCACATGTATAAAATAAAGATTGTACAGTCCCCACAGTGTGCCTGTCAAACAGGACCATAAACACCTGAGCACATTCTGCAGACCTGCCCACTCTACCTACAACTTCGAAAAGCAAGCTATGAGAAACGATGAAGGACCTACTACTGACATGAAAGTTCATAGAAGCAACCCACCTGATGGTCTGACCTAAACATACGAAACCGAACGCAAAGAAGAAGTAATATCTGTATACTCCCTCTCTTATCTCTGCTGTCTTTTATCTCTTCATCTCACTGTCCTATCTCCCCATCTCTCTCTCTCTCTCTCTCTCTCTCTCTCTCTCTCTCTCTCTCTCTCTCTCTCTTTCTGTGTGTGTGTGTTGCCGTATTTTATCTTCGAAAGGGAATTGTAAAAGCCGCATCCCTCCGTTAATCTTCCTCAGTTATCTGTTCGTCTCTCTAATCTCTTTATTTCTCTGTTTTGTTCTTCTCCGTTATCTCTTCATTTCTCTTTGTTATCTCGTTGTTTCCATAATAGCTGATCTCCCCATCTATCTATTATCACTTAACCACTGGTATTTCTTCTTCATCTCTGTGTGTGTGTGTGTGTGTGTGTGTTATCTAGTATTTTTTCTCTCTCTCTCTCTCTCTCTGTTATCTCTTTATCCACTCTCTAATCTCTGCATTTCCCTCTTTTATCTAAACATCTCTGTCTATTCAGCTCTCTCTGTTATTTACTCATTTCCCCAGTTATTTCTACATCTTCACCAGTTACCTCTTCAAATACCTCTCTACTATATCAGTATCTTCTTTTGTTATCTCCTTGTCCTTCTTTTATCCCTTAATCTTTCTCTATTTTCTCTCCACCTCTCTCTAATCTCCAGTCAAGCTCCCTGCTGACCAGGTTATGCACCTCCCTCTAATCTCCAGTCAAGCTCCCTGCTAACCAAGTTATGCACCTCCCTCTAATCTCCAGTCAAGCTCCCTGCTAACCAGGTTATGCACCTCCCTCTAATCTCCAGTCAAGCTCCCTGCTAACCAAGTTATGCACCTCCCTCTAATCTCCAGTCAAGCTCCCTGCTAACCAAGTTATGCACCTCCCTCTAATCTCCAGTCAAGCTCCCTGCTGACCAAGTTGTGCACCTACATGGCCTCCTGCTCCTGCTGCGACTGTTGGTCCAAGGCAAGTGCGAAGACGCCACCTCAGCGGCCGCACATCCAACACACATGCCTGGAGCAGCACCAGGGACGGCCGGACTCTCCATGCAGCACGGTGGAAAGCATCAGAAGCTACAGGTGAGCGTCAGGTAGACACAAACAGGTGGGAGAGAGCCTCAGGTAGACACAAGCAGGTGGGAGAGAGCCTCAGGTAGACACAAACAGGTGGGAGAGAGCCTGAGGTATACACAAACAGGTGGGAGAGAGCCTGAGGTAGACACAAACAGGTGGGAGAGAGCCTCAGGTAGACACAAACAGGTGGGAGAGAGCCTGAGGTAGACACAAACAGGTGGGAGAGAGCCTGAGGTAGACACAAACAGGTGGGAGAGAGCCTGAGGTAGACACAAACAGGTGGGAGAGAGCCTGAGGTAGACACAAACAGGTGTGAGAGAGCCTGGGGGTAGATATAAACAGGGGGAAAGACAGCGTCTGGTGGGGGGGGGGGGGTAAGGGAGATAAGAACACGGCCTGGGCCATGGACCCATTGCTTGAGATCACAGTTTTGACCTTTCTGGTTGAAGTGGTGTGGCAAGCTTTAAGTCCACCAGACAGAAGGTCCCAAACGTTAGTGCCTGGGGTGGATAATCGTAGCAGTGTCCTTCCTGGCGGGAAGTGCTTGCAAATGGCAAAAGCAACAAGCGTGACGTAGTGGGTGGCTGGTTAGGGGTTTTCCTTTGAATTCGGAGTGCATCAGTCTGACAAGCAAGAAACCACAAGTCTGCATACAGAGAAACCAGATCTGTAAAACGGGTGTACATGCAAAACTTCAATCTCTGGAATAAGACCAAAGTCTAGAAATGGATGAACAACTGTTACTTTTCACCAGAAGTCACAGCCAGTTTCTGCATGCAGCACACACACACAGACTCATACACACACAGGGGTACATTCCAGCACACACACACACAGATATACATGCACTCAAACACACACTTCGTTTTTATGTAGGTGTTATTATCGTTATCATCATCGTAATCATCAACATCATCATCCTCATCATCATCAGCATCATTATCATCATCATCATCATCATCTTCATCATCAACATCATCATCATCATCATCATCACCAGCATCATCATCATCGCTACTGACTTATCTTGGATGTCTGACCCGTTGCTGTACAGAGAACGTATGGACTCCCGCGCTGACTCTCTATCGTCTGCTAGTGGCCTCAGCGTCGATAGTAGGCGCCACGTGACACCTGTCATTGAC